CCCCCAGGCAGTCACAGGATCAAGAGAGAGAACAATGGTGGTCTGTGGGTGTGTGTGTGATGTTTGGTAGTTTAGCTGCCTTAAACCCATTTTCTACTTACTGAAATTTTCAGTTGATGGGTTTATCAGGCTGTCACCCCACTGTAAATGGAGGAGACTCTGTATATGACATTCTGGAAAAAGACAAATCCAGAGAGACAGTAAAAAGGAAAAATGGTTGCCAGGGGTGAGGTAGAAGGGAGGGATAAATAGGTGGAACACAAAGGATGTTTAGGACAGCAAAAGCATTCTGCATGATATTCTTACAGTGGACACATGTCATTATGCATCTCAAACCCAGCAGAGCTGTACAACAAAGAGTGAATACCTTAATGTTACTATGGACTTGAGTAATAAAGTATCAATATTGGCACATCAACTGTACAACAGAAAGAAAATGCATATATAGGATGATTGCAATCATGCAAAATAAAAACAGCTAACAAACAAAAGTACAAAGCACAGTCTGATCCAGAGAAGAGTGGCATTCCTAATTTTGACAGGCCCTAAAATAGCAAGGCAGGTTTTGAATAAGATGACATTTTTAAAGGAAACATAACCATGTTTTAGTGTTCCCTGTATGCTTGGTACCACATTTAAATGCATCATTTTATTAACCACACACAACTCTAAGGTAGACACCATTCTTTTTTCTGGTAAGGGAGCCGGGGTGCCAGCCACAGTGGTCAAACTGTCTAGGCCGATGTAGAGGCAAAGAAAATTTTTCTTTCCCCCTCTGATGGTTCAGTATTTGAGTTTATGAAATAAATGGACACAAGACAGATTTGTAGGAGAAAAGGTATCCAAATACATTACGAGCAAGTGCACAGGAACCAAGAAAAATATTGAGACTCAAAGAAGCGCCCGATGAACTGAAGTTTTTATGCCAGCCAGACAGGGACAGGGCAGTGGGGCTCCTGGAGGGCAGGGGTTATGTGAGGTGAGGCCATGCCTTGAACAAAGGTTTTTATTATGCTGGCAGTCTCCTGAGTAAGAGCCCTCAGAAAGCGCTCCAAGACATCCTGTGGCCAGCTCTGGGCAGGGATGTCCACATGTTCCTCCCTACAATGAGGTAAGGCAGAAGGGGGGCCTCAAGAGGCCTGTTGACACCCTGTTTACTTCACAAGCATTTCCATTAGAGTCACCCGTTTCTTTTACAAAAGGCCTTCTCAGAGCTGTTCCTGTGTCTGCAGTTTCTCTGAATAGCCATCTCCGAAATGTGCCGAGGAAGTGTATTTTGGGGTGGCATATTTTAGCCTCCCACACCAATGACATCCATGTTATTCTGCTGCTCAAAAAAAGGTAGCTAGCAGATGGGGTTAGAGTAGAATTGCAGGGTCACTCATTTGTTAGTTCCTAGATCCTCCTGAAGTGCTTGGAAGTCGCTCATCCCACTGGTTCAAACACCCCCCCAGAAATAGAATTTATGCTCCTATGTTTAGCGAGCTGCTCTTCCCTCACGCCCACCAGCCCCAGGAGGCTGACTTCAGACACTCACCTTCTGCTGCCTGTGCACCAGCCAAGCCCAGCTGCGGCACTCCTGCAGGCTCTGCTGCCGGCATGCCAAGATCAGCGTGCACACTGTCACTGCAGAAAGATGGCTCCTCGTCAGGGACTCTCCTGCACCCCAGGTTTCTTTGAGTGATGTGTGACCACGTTTATTCCTGACCCTGGACAAGGCTCAGGTCTCCTGGGGTAAGTCTCCTCTCTACTTAATTTGGAATGATGGAAGCTGGGACAGGAACCTGAACTCCAAAAAAGTGAAGGATGAAGGTGGGGGAGGCAGCAGGGTCCTGGGACCAGGCCCAGGGTGGCTGTGGGGAGCAGCTGACTTCTGACCTTGGGAGCCAAGCAGGAGCTGGCCCTGTCTGGAAAGGCATTTGGGCTTGTAGAGGAGACAGAAATGGGCTCCTTGGGAGAGTGATGGAAAGAAGGAAAAGTCCAGAAGAGGGGTTGAAATAACACAGAATCTTCACAGGGAATCTTAAGATCTTCAGCCGAGCCCTTCTCTTTCTTCAGCTTCCCACATTGTCAGGAAAACAAAAACAAAAACAGAAAAGCCTAAACTTTGCTGTCTAGGCTGATGTAGCGGCAAAGAAAATTTTTCTTTCCCCCTCTGATGGTTCAGTATTTGATCTGTGATATAAATGGACACTAGCACTTGGTTGTGGCCTCTGTCGGCCCTCAGGGCAGCTGGGCCTTTAACTCAGTGCTCCTCAGCCCTTGCTCTATGCAGCAGTGTCTGGCTTACTCCCTCTTTTGCAGACCCTTCCTATTTAAACTAAGAAAAAAAGGGCCATCCGGTCATTTTCCTCTTTCCCCAACAGCAGTAAGTTCCAAGGCCTGGAGGAGTCCTCCCAGCTTTGCTCTCAATCCCCTTCCTGGGTACCTCCCTTCTGCAATGGTCTTACACCAGTGACAAGAGTATTCCCCATCCATACTGCACATGGTAATGACAGTCATTTCCCATTTTTTTTTTCTTCAGAGTACATTCTCTCCATCTTCTCCAATGTCTCTGAATTATCATTCTCAGTTTTCTTTGATGCTTTCTCTGAAATCCCCATTCTGTGGGATGTGTTTGGGAGAGAGGGGCAATGAGTCTGTTTTTACTTAAGCTCTTCAGATGAGGTGACCCAAACACTTTCAGAAGCACTGCTGACCTAACAGCTAAGCAGAACTTGTGTCTTTCTCTTCCAAACCTATTTCTTAGCTAGACACAATGGCTCACACCCATAATCTCAGTGACTTGGGAGTCTGAGGCAGGATCACAAGTTTGAGGCCAGTTTCCGTAACTTAGCAAGACCCTGTCTCAGAATAAAAAAAAGGACCTGGAGTAGCTCAGCACTTCTGGGTTCAATCCCTAGTGCCAAAGAACAAAACAAACACAAACCCTCCAAATCCCTACTTCTCTTGGCTCCTTTTGGTTAAGGAGGATCTGCAACCACTTCCCACTCTCACCTGTCTGGCACCCACACCCAGGCCTGCTTCTTCCTGGTTCTTGCCAGTGCTCTCTAGATTCTCATCCCCCTACTGGATATATCCCATAATGAGTTTTGATGATGCCATTTTCCCCCACTCTTAAGGAAAAATTTCCCTTCTTTCTTTTGGCACACGATGTGTCCTTTGGAAATCCTTGGCAATTTTCCGCAGGCAGCATTAACCTCTCATCTTGGTGAACTTCGGGCATGTTACTATGATGTAGCTGGCGGTGGCCCTCACTAGGCTGTGCTCCCAGCTAATGTTTGCAAGTACCAGTAACTTAAGCAACGCTGTTTTTGTGCTAAGAAAACACTACCAAAAAGGAGAGTGCAAATTCCTAATCACAGAATAGGACTTTAAAGACAATGAGAAGTGCCTCTTAAGGAAGATGTCAGGGATTGGTGAGTTTTTACTTCCTGTAAAGGGAGAGGCAGTAAACATTTTAGGCTTTGAGGGCCACACCTTGTTTGTCACAACTATTCAACTTGGATGTTACAGGGCAAAAGCAGTACTTGTGTTCCAAAACTTCATATAATTTCCGGAGCCCCACATCCTTCAGCATGATTCATATTTATGAGCACTGTTTAACTGGCCACCCCCCAGCCCGCCCCCATGAAAACTATATCAATACAGCAGTGAAGAGCAAAATGAAGATGGAACCGAAACTGCTCCAGCAGCTGACAGCCAAGTGCAGCTGGCGCTTTGCTTATGCTGCCACCTAGTGACCGACTGGCTAATTTCAGTTTTCTCTCAAGGCCTGAACACACTGTCCTGTCTCACAGCCCTTAACAGAGTTGGGGTTTGTGTTCCTGACCACACCAGAAGAGGACTTCAATTCCATCAAAACAAAAAGAAGCTAAAGAATTACAAATCTTGAAAAATAATTTAAAGTGAATAAGCAAGCTTCAAATCACAGAACTTTGGAACTCTAGGGGACTTCAGAGATCCATGTAGCTTTCAGATGAGATGAAAGACCCAGGAAAGCCAGTTGTTCCAGATGATGATGTCCAAGGCAGGGCCTGCCGGATTCCAGTGCAAGGCTGACTGTACCCCATTACAGATAAAACCTGACACAAGGGATATGTGGAGCAGCAGCCTAAAGCCACCCCACCTGGGCTTAACTGCTCTGTGCCCTTGGACACTTAGCTGTTAATCTTTGTGCCCAAAGATCCCTAACTATAATATGGGGTGCAGCACCTACCTCACAGGGATATTATGAGGCTGAAATGAGCCCAGTGAATGGCCTATCATCGACATTCAAGTGACACCTACCTTTACAAATTCACTGAGGAGACGTGGGTGTGTGTGTGTGKGGGGGGGAAGGAGGCACAGCTCAGTGGTGGAGCCCTTGCCTAGCATGTGTGAGGCCCTAGGTTTGATTCCCAGTGTGTACACACACACACACACACATTAAGAGCCTACTATGTGTCAGACATTTAGTGCTTATATACTTGGCAGATTTAATCCTTGCAACTACTCCACAACGTGTTATTATGCCCATTCTGTAAATCAGCCTGAGAAAGGTCACATTTGAGTGGGTAGGGTTTGGGAACAAAATCACAAGTCATACTGCCTCTTCTTGTAAAAGCTGATTTTTATGAAGGCACTCAGAATGAGTCAATTTCATATAATGACTATGACCTAACTTCGACATGCTAGCAAAGAGGAGCTTTTCATTAACTATTAAGTCATCTGGTGGCACTCTTAGCACTCAACAAGCTGCTTGGGTGATTGTTACTGTTTCTTCATGAGGGCTACTTCCACCATCATTCTTTGCTTCAGAGTATTTTCTTTGGGAGGTGGGTGGATAGAAAGGTGCTTGGGAAAAACGTATGTGAATGTTGGAGCTTTATGGTATCAGTACTTTTTCTTTCTGCTTGCACCACCGCTTCATTTCTGAAGTCTTCCAACTAATGGGATCATCACTGCATGCTTAAGACACACAGGGATAATAAAAACCTATGTAGAGACAAGCTGTTTCCCAACAGAGGGTATCTGTGCATGTTTAAATCTTCAATATAGACAGCACTGATAATCCTTGAATTTACCTGAGATGGATAAATGCTTAAAGTCCAGTTCTGAAAGACCTAAGGTTTCCTAATTCTGGAAATTTCCCCATAACCATTTGAAGACACCCTTCAGAGACACCCTACTTGATTAGGATGTGGCCCAGCCCTCTCTTAGGAATCCAGAGGCTGTTAGTTCTGTGGGTCCTACAGCTTTAAAAGTCACTGCACTCGTTCCAGTAAAGAAGCAGATGTGGGGGCAGGTGAGCATTAAATTGAAGTTGGGGGTCCAGCCTTCATCACTGGTGTTGTCTGCACCACTTGATCTCCCTGAACCCTGAATCCTTAACCTGTCAGACAGACAGGAAGCTCCCATCCCCTTCACAGGTGTGGTGACCAAATGAACACAGAAGAAAGTGCAATGCAAACTGTAAAGTACTATCAATGCCTTTGGGATGTTTATATACTTTCTACACCACTGGGATCACAATGGCTCAGAGAGACTATTCAAATTGATTTTATGGCCAGCTGCCTGCATTCTTTAAAGATCTTGGCACAGACTTAACAATCATAAATGTTTTCTCTCTAACGCTTAATTTTCTCTAAATTAGGTCAGTAGGAAATAACGTCTGTTTGCTTGCACTGTCCTTGTCTCTCACCAGGTGGCACTGCTTTCCAATCAGCAATTTCTTCTGGTGAGAGGCTGGCTGAGACCTTCCACAATGGATCAAACTGGAGCTGCAAGAGGAAAGAGAAAAACGATGTAGAAGCATCCAAGCCCCACCTCACCCCACCTCCCACCCACCAATTTCAAAGAAACAGAATTTTGGGATGAAGAGCTTCTGGTGACCAAGTCCAGCAGTCACTGCAGATGGAGCTGTGACTGTGGGAGGGAACAGTCGTTGGTCCCCTGGAGTGTGATGTGCTGCATTTTCCAGAACCGGAGAGAAGTCTAACATCCCTGTGTTCCAAGGCTGATAAATGTTTATGCAAAAAAAAAAAAAAAAAAAAAAAAAAAAAATCATGCACGTGTACCTATATTCCAACAGAGAGGGCGTGTTTTTTAAAAAAAAAAGACAGCACTTAGGAATTATATAACTTTGCATGTATAAACCCAACAGCTGTGATTTGTACATAGTGATAACAAAATATTGATGCTAGATTGACCTTAGGAATACAAACTGTGCAAGTCAATGTTACTGGGGTACCTGGAGGACAAGGTTGCACAACATGGCCTGCCCTCTCTGTTCAGGGTCATGTTGAAGGGTCAATAGTACTGCAGCTGAAACACCTGCTGCTCAGCTGAGTCCCTGGAGCCCCTCCTTCTCATCACAGTGGGCCTCACCCCTTGAAGCTGAAGGAATGCAGTGACCCTGTTTCAAGTCAGAGCACACACCTCAAAACTCATTTCTCTGAAAATAAATGGACCCTTTTTTGTGGGATGGGGAGTTGACATTTTCTTCTTTCCAGAAAAGATTACAGAAGGGTTGTGGTGGGGTTGAACTACTGTCGCAGCTTGCCTCCATGTGGCTTCACTGCCTCAACCTTAGAATGCTTTTGTCATCAGCATGCAGAATTGAAAAGAGGTGTCTTCCAAGCTCAAATGATGATGCTTGTAAGTACTAGATGGTTCCTGTTAAAAAGAGAAGAAAGATATTTTACACTGTGCTTTAATCTCTTTAGAACCTTCTCAGAAAAATTTGATTTGTAGCATTTATGTAAAAAAAAAATGTGGATTTGCCTTATGATGGATTGATTTTACTTTGGCATGGAGTAATCAGGATGGGATGACTTGGCCATGTATATACAGCCCATGCTGCTACTAAGTGGCAAACTCTCCGACTAGATTAAATCTTCGAGAGAAAGGAATTTTTAATGAGAGAATGGAGCAGAGTTAACTGACCCTAACAGAATGAAGAACTTTATTTACGAAGCCTCTCACCACCCAAAAAGCCATCATCTTCACTCTTAGGCCCACATTCTTTGCCACACTCTTTCCATCTTCTAAAACAGGAAGTGGATGGAATTTTCTGTTCATCAAAATTTGATTGGGCACACATCTGAGTGCCTCCTCGGTGCTATTTTATTAAGTTGGGCCTTTCCTATTTATTATGGCATTTAATCGTCACAGACATGATTTAAAATAAGCCATCTCATTTTACATCCAGGGAAAACGAAGCTCAGGGGCCCAAGGTTCCTTCTCCTGGTATCCAACCTTTTCTAAACTGACTTCACTATGCCAGTGCTCAAGCTTAGAGGGCCTGTTCCCACTGCCAACTCTAGTCGGGACCACTGCCTCATGCTACCCATTTTCTGAATTTCCAGGCTTTCTTTCTTCAACCACTCAACGACTTCCTCAAATACCATAGTTAATGTTTTTCCATTACTTACAACTTGGTAACTTCCTATTTTTTATTCTATCAATTCTAAATTCTCCATTCCAACCTTATTTTATCAACTGCACCCACAAATCTCTTAATACATTCTCCTTATTAATGTATTGCTCTCTCCCCCCACCTCCCCAACCACACACTACTGCCATTTGTGTTACATACAACTGCCTGTTTTATGTCTCCTTTCCCATGTGGTGACCACTAACCCTGCTCACACTGTCCTGGCCTCCAGACTCACCTCCCCTGTGGGGCCAACATCTTCTGGTTGCACATCCCTGTCCTGGTCTTCCATAGCTCTATGACATCATCTTGGGAGGGTGTCAGGATATGGATTCAGGAGTCTCTGGTACACTGCTGGTATGAGTATGAAATCACTTGGAAAACAATACAGAAAATCTTGGAAAACTGAGCATCTGAATGTCCAGTGACTGCTTAGATGTGCACCCTAACAAACTCCTGCATACTTCAAGAATATAAGAATGTTCCTAGCAGCCCTGCTCATAAATAGAAAAAAAATGAAAAACACCCAAATGTCAGTTGACAGAATGACAGATAAACTGTTTCATATTCTCCTCCTGCCACCAAAAGAACATTTTAAGGTAGCAAAATGAATAAACATGAGGAACATTACATTGGGACATAAAACTAGATAAATAGAGCCAGCCTCAGAAGATGAGGTATGGAAAGGTACCCTTTTTATAAAGCTCAAGGAAAGCAAAAATAAGCTGTATATTTTAGGGGAAATATCAGAGGCGAGAAAACAGACAAAAGCAAAGGAATAATATAATTTAAAGCAGCCATTACCTTAGTGTAGTGGGGAGAGAGGGGACAGGCAAGGAGCACAAGTGAGGACATTGGAGACATTCTTGTAATTTTGTGGGTTCAAGACTCACCTATTACATTCAGGTGTACATTTATCTGCTAAAGGGAAAAGTTGCTGTCTGTAAACAATCAAATCCTTTCAACTGCCTGGTTACAAAGGGAACACTCACAAGGTGGCTACAGAAAACAATCCAGTGTCCTGGGGCCTGGCCCTTCTGAGTGTCCACCACCTTGCTGAACGCTGAGGCATGGGGCCATACTGAGGGCTCAGGCAGAGCAATAGCACACTGACTGGCTCCCACTGGTGTCTTAGATCTTATAGATGGTTTAAAACTTTGACTCGAGATTGGATGATAGGAGAGAGAACCAATTGTTTCGACATTCAATACTGAACCAAGGTAGTTCCCAGGTTGAAAAAACAAAACCAAAAAAATCTGAGGAAGTACATTAGGTCCTTCATACTTCCAGTGAGGGAGGCCCTAAACCAGGAAGCCAAGCTCGAGGCTGACAGGACTTTGCTGTCTGCCACTGTAGCCCTGGCACACAGTGTGTGCTCAGCAGAGACAGAAAGAAGTCTCCCTTTTTTCAGTAATCACACAGATGACCTAAGGTCACTTGGGGGAAGAGTGAAGAACATCCAGATGATAAGTGATAAATGACCTTGGGATTCACTGTCCATGATACAGGGAAATGGGTTAGTTGATCCGGAAAAAAAAAAAAAAAAAAAGAAAAAAAATCACCATGTATAATATCCTACCTTTAATTTTTACAAAATTGGCAATAAGGCACAATTCTTAAGCTGTTTTTCATTTTTTTATTGCTGTTAATTCAAGGAAAAAAGGTTGCATAAAATCCAATCTGTTCTAGAAATATAAGTGGCCTTTCCAGTACATAACATTTCAAATATCAAAGTATATGGTAAACATACAAATAAGGAGAAGGTAACACACCTCCTATGTACAGTACAGTATTTTAAATCATAAAATAAGCTCCATAAAGTACAACTGGCAAGTGATTCCCAACGTGCTCACACGTGGCGTATCAACACCCTCACCTGAACAACCCAACTGCAGCTTAACAATTAATTTAATAATGTGGTCCAAAAATACCCAGATCAAATAAAATATATTTAATCAAAATAATTTCCTTTACTCGAACTTTTTTCTTTCTAAATTAAAGCTTTCATCTACCCCTTTATAACCCCTTCCCCATAACTCCCACCCCTGAAAGTTTCAAAATGTACATTGGTGCTATAAATATAAATGCTACTTATGAAGCATTAAATTAAGCTTCTTTTTCTTCAAGTTTTTTCTTTTGTCTAGCAATCTGTTAGGCTTCTGAACCAAGACCAAATATTTAAGTTCCTCTGCTGCATACCAACGTTATTCCACACACAAAAATCTATCATTTCTGCTCTGTACTGAGGAATGGGAAAACAAAACCCCCCACCCTTAAACCTATGACTATACAGTGGTAGTTGTTCATTGCTGTTGAATGCAGCAGTCACCAAAAAATACACCCAATCTTCCAGATAACCTCAGTGCACTTTAGGAAATCAAAAATTACCTGGAAGCAATTTAGTACATAGATTGGCTTTAAAAAAATTTTTTTTTAAACAGCAGCATTAAACTTAGTGACATGACACTGACATGATTAATACCATCTTAACACACTCAGAATTCAGTCTTTCACATTATAATCAAGCATAGTGGTAAACGTTTATAAAAGTGACTTTGCTACGAGAGACAGGTTAGGGAACAAATACCTGACTTTTTTTGTAGAAACCCATAGCTTCTGTTCGGATTGCAATAAACCACACACATTTTAAACACAACGTAACACTGTAACAGTTGGTATAGCAAAAGAAGAAATCTTTACTCAAGTAGTGTCTTTGAGCAGGACATGGTGGTAGACGACGAGTAGAACTGGCTGTCGACTTTCATCACAAACACAAGCACACAGAGAATGACATTCACACCAGTGTGTTCACTTTGTGTCTCTCTGAAGCAACAGGCTAGAAAAGTATGATGAAAGGAGAGAGATGTTTTCTTTTTCTTTTCTCTTTTTTTTTTTTTTTAAGAAAAAGCTTTCTGTCCATAGGTCATATCTTTCAGCTTCATATGGTTTGACTTCTTCCTCTTGCTCCCACTTATTTTCATGTTTATTTGGACAACAAGCACTGCATATATGTATTTGTGTGATGCTGTTTATTACATATATACATACTATCTTGGGAATTTAACTTCTCATGTAGGATTAAGGTGAAAAGTTTTACCCTTCCTTTATATGCAGAGCAGTTTACAGAAATGTGGACAAGTACACTGCCAGGCACTCGTGCCGCAGGCCAGGGAAAGGGCAAGGGTGGCTGGCCAGAGCAGTGTAGTTTAGGGTGAGAGTGAGAAAAGCTGGGGAAGAAGCAGTTTCTTTTTTTTTTTCAAAACCATATGACTGTCACCAGTGTTGTAAAAAAAGGTCAAATACACAGTTTTAAAGATTCAGTAAACATTGCACACAGCAAGTATTCAGTGTAAAAAAAAGCACGCATCAACATTTTCCTTTTGATAGTTTGTCTGAAGTTTAAGTTACATGTATCATACATATAAGCCTGTTGTTGAACCAGGAGACCAGAGGCTCAGAAGCATTGCATTCTTTCTTATTTTGGACATTGGTACAAGAGAAATAAAAACTCCCAACTGCATAGAAATCTAGGAAATGTATAGACAAAGAAACAAACAAAATACCTTTCCTTTCCTCCCCTCCAAACCCCATGACTCCCCACACTTGAGTGTATTAAGTAGGCAAGCTTTACTTGTTTCAGTCTGCAGAATCCAACGTATCATTAGAAGGGGGGAGGGGAGGTGCGTATCTCAGTCTGTAAGTGCCTAAAACGGGAAAGAGAACTGCTAAGTCACCGCTTTTAACGACACGCATCACAAACCACTACAAGATATCAAATGGGCATGCTCTTCAGAAGGCACTTTTCTAAGCATTAATACCACTCCAAAATGGCAAATAAATTATTTATAAAAAAATAATAATATGAAGCTTGTGCTTTAAGTTCAACCTAAAGCCATCAAACTTGATCTTGCTTTAAGAATACCAAATAGATATACTCCCAAATCAAGACTTTTGTTCTGAGTAAGATATGGTAAAATGATAAAGGCCAAATGCAAGTAAAAGAGAATGGTTGGAGGTCAACACCGAATTTTGTATCTTACTCATTACTTGCATAAGCACATTTCCTTCATTTAGGTGGTAGTAACATTAAACTTAGATCTACTTCCCTTATTCCCAAACTAAAGTTTATTTTGTTGCTCTAAAATGCAGAAGAATCTGAATTTCTTTTTCTTAGACATTTGTTGGGTATACACACGAGGTCAGCTGGTTACGCAGCTATTGAACAGTTACTAAAAACCTTACATGTCAGATGACTAGCTTATTTTCTAGTTTTTCAGTATTAAACATTTTTGCTTACTCTTTGAAATAGGATTGTAGTTTTTTTAAAAAAGTGCCATAGGTAAGAGATTTAACATTATATAATTCAAATTCCTGCTATATTCCTTGAAAAGTGCCTTTAGAGTTTATTCCTTAATTGGGAAATAAATTCCTTTGACCTTCCTTGGGTTCTGTGTGACCTGGGTCTATACTAGGTTTTTCTGGTTGCAATTTATAATTTGTCACTGAAAACACATCTGTAAATGAACACACAAACAGATCTTTCTGCTACAACAGAATCACATGATCAAGAAAAGGAAGGAAGGAGAAACAGGTGAATTCAAAAACAAGTCCTCTGGGAGTTATTGTGATTACCTTGTTGATTGGCCTCCATGGATGACTGCTTACAGTCCTGTGCATAGTGTCCGCTTACACCACAATTGTAACATGAGACATTCCCATTCTTCTTGGGCCCCGAACCACTGGTGTTGGCAACTACATTGGGTGCTGGATATACGGGATAGAATCTCCCAAATCCTGCCATTTGTTGCATGCCATAGTTGGCTTGGCTCCCCATGACTGGGTCATGCACCAGTCCATTTGCATATGGAGTCTGAGGCAGAAAAAAAGGAAGTTGGTTTCCATTGCTCTGATGTGCTTGGTTGAGGTAGCTGCCATTGCAAATGGATGGCAGAGTGAAGAACGACGGGACTCGGTACATTGGTCCAGGCATTGGATTGGGATAATAGTAACTATTTAGCTGAAGGTTTCCGTTGGTCCCACAGCTGCACCTTCGCCCACAAGAACCACAAGGACCCGAGCCCATCTGCTGTGGTGGCACTATTGTGCCATTAGAGTTCGTGTTCCCCACAGCACTGATGTAGGATGTGCTCTCACTCTGCGCAGTACTGTGTGTCAAAGCTGGGCTTGGGCTTGGGGCAGGGCCTGGGGTGTGGGTAGGAACTGCAGGAGGAACAGTGGACTGGGCCTGGCTGATGCCTGCACTTGCTGGCTGGGCAGAAGTGGCTGTTGTGTTGAGCACATTGGAATTCGGGGTGGGTAACACACTGGCAGCAAGGGGAGAGCCTGGCAA